AGAGCTATTGCCATTTTATTATTCATATTTTTACCCCCATCTTAAAGAAGTCCCTCTAAGATTCCTTGCAATACTGGTTTATTGGTGATGAACTCCTATAGCTTTTTTTCTGTCTGGGAAGCTCTTTATCTTCCCAGACAGGGAAGATCAAGGTGCCCCAGGAATGTCACTTGTGTGGATTGTGTGTGCCCTCCTGTTATAGTTGAGCCTTGATTGCTATTGGCACATTATTGGGTAGGATTGACCATCAGGCTGAATGGCTGTGGGGTTTGGCCATTTTCACAGCTTAGCGGCTGCTGTATAGGGGGTTTACCCCATGGAGTGGGATTCACCCCAGTGGGCTCTGGTACCTGTTGAGAGAACCCTTTATGTATGCCACTTGTGGGACTAATTGGGTGGTGCTCTGCTATAGTCTGAAGCCAAATTTAAGTATGTTGTTTCTAGAGCCTCTTGTGGGGACTCCAGTGCAGGCCCAGATCACCTACTGCCTATGACCAGCCAGGGTCTACCTCATAGGAGCTAAATGGTGATCTGCAGCTCTTCTCTGACTGTGCTAAACCTAAAAGCATGTAGGAGAGGCTGTGCTGCAAACCAAGGATGCCTGCTACCAGTAACATGCCTGAGGTAGCTCTGCAAAAAGGCAGGATACTCTGAAGCCTACTGACACCTACCAGCTCCCTTAAGGTTTAGCCGCTGATACAGCCTTGGGGTACGCAACTTGTGGTATGCAAGTTGAGTGAGGCAGGGTTTTAGGAGTCACTAGAGTGGAAAGAGCTGTGGTTATCAGGTTAACATAATTTCTGGTTTGGTTCCAGTGCTGAATTTCGAGCTACTCAGCAAAGGTCTCAGAGAACACTGAGGCCAGTTTTCCTTCTCCTCATGCCTGCAGAGTTTCATAGTTTTCCAAGGAAGAGTACAATGCAGGCAGGGCTGGCTGCTCCTGAGAAAGTGCCTTTGGCTTTTTGGGAGTTGGGTGGGGCAAAGTCTCAGTGGAGTCAGCAGGATGGAGCTGCAGAGCTCACCGGACCAATCAGATTCAGATTTTGCCTGTGGGGGAGGGTTCAACACAATAAAGATGGCGTCCACCAGCTGGCTGCAGAGAAAAGGGCCCTTCACAGGGAAAACAGCAACTGTCCTCCAGCCCTTGCCCTGAGGACACACATCGCAGTCTGCCCCCATATGCTTCTGACAACCCCCACGGGACCATCCCTCCACTGCAGCCCTGGGTGAGTGCCTATGAGTGAATGAGTTTGTGTGTGAGCCATTTAAGAGGACTTCTGGGTTTCCTGCAGACTTCTGTCTGACCCAGATAGTTGGAATCCCTATTGTTTTTCACAGCCAGATGGGGAGCCTGGTATGGAGCTGGGTCCCCTCACTCCTCTTTTGGGAACCTCTGCAGCAGAGATATCTCTACTGATTCTCAACCACCACACGGAGGTTTGCAGCCCGTTCTGCATCTCTACCCCTCCTACCAGTCTCAACCTGGCTTCTTCTTTACAATTTTAGTTATAGAGCTTTTGTTCATCTAGACTTTAGATAGTTCTCCAGGTTGTTTGTTCTATAATTTAGCTATAATTGTAATATGTTCATCAAAGGACACAGGCACAGTGTTTATCTACTCCACCATCTTGGATCTCCCCTGCCTCATCATTTTTTACTGTGAGCCTCTCTCTTTATCTGCTCTCCCTTCAGGAAATCTGGGTCATATTTTTAGCCACATCACCTCTTTAAGATTACTCCCAGATCTAACATGCTACCTTTTCCTGTGACCCAGTCTCCCATCCAAAAACAAAAATGACAATAACAAAGATTGCAAACATTTTATGGAAAGATTATGAAATAGAATATTCAAACATACTTTGAAAATAGCAATTCAACTTTGAGAAAGATGTATGAGTTGGTGTTGTGGATCTCTCTATAAACTATAGTCACAGAAAAATTTGTTTGCAAGGGAACTCAAATTCATTTATTTTATGTCCCTAACACTTATCTTTTATATTATCATAATCTAAAACTTATATCAAATGGTGGGAATGACCTGCACACAATGAACAATGGGTCACAATTCTCAGAGAGACAGAAGGCAGAGAATAGGAGTGAGTGGCTCAGAGCACTCAGGAATCATTCAGGCAACTGTCTTCGTCTTTTTTCTTCTGGGCATAAATCAAGGACTCTCGCTTTCTAGGCTGCCAATTCAACACCTTTTATAGGCACTTAATTCACTCAGAAATTAAAAATATATACATACTCCTTACAGAAGGTACCATTATTCTTCAGCATGACACATGATTTGATTTTAAGCCTTTATATGACTCTTCTATATCCTACTGTGGGTTAGAATCAATCAAATGTCTGTGATGAATAGCAATTGCTACCTAGGCTAGTCACCTCCCACATAGGCTCCGTGTATACTCTCATCAACAAATTTGTATCTCCCCCTTCCCTGCAAAAGCCCTCAATGTGGTTTATGGGGGGAGCACATGGACATGTCATGTGTTTGAGAAGAGTATTACACCATCGACTGTTACCACTAGATCCACCTTCTCCTGACTTTCAAAGCATTATTCAGAATACTACGAAGGCCAAATCAGTTGTCATTGTTGGCAAACCCAGCCTCTCAGTTCTCCACCTTTGTCCTCTCCTCTCCTTTCCTCACAGTACTCACACCACACATAATCTTTGACCTCACTATCCCCCTTTGTTCATAACCTATGCTTTTTAAAGAAGCTGAAACCTTTTTACCCTGAGCTTTCAGTGATAGACAACAGCTTAACTTATCCACCCCTTCCAGGTATGGTTGCATTTTTAAAGATCCAGACTGTCAGTTCCAAATAATACAATTTTGGGGTAAATGAGAAGCTAAGGTGTGTATTTCTTGGACAAAGGAGGCATCACAAGTAGTCATTCAATCAAATGTTTAACTAAGGCATCCAGATGCATTCTGAAAATGAAAAGAAAGAAAGAAAGAAAGAAAGAAGAAAGAAAGAAAGAAAGAAAGAAAGAAAGAAAGAAAGAAAGAAAGAAAGAAAGATTGAACAATGAGCCAAAAGAGTTCATTCCACTCCCAGTACTTCTAACTTATATGAAACTAGTATGTTACTGCCCTGATCTGGACACTATTTCTCAGGTAAAATGACAGTGTGGGAAACTGATAGAAATGCCTTTGGATTCTGTGAATTTCACAATCTTCCCCAAATTCCACTGGTAGGGTTTAGCATGTGTTTAGATAGTGTTAAGGTTGTATGAGGCCAAATGATCCAAAAATATATATATCTCTCCTTAGATCAGACACCTCCTCCCTACTATAAAGTCTTCAATTAGATATGTACATAGTGGGAAGTTGGCAAAAACAGTAAAGTGACACTTCATTGTCAAAGGGGCTGAGTCATCAACTGCAGTGTAAGAAAGTGGGGCTGTTCTAGGTAACCCAAGAAACCTTCCACCTTCCTCTACATTCACACTTGACTCCCACCATTGTACTATGCTCTGATCAACTTCCTGGTGGACCCATGTGTGTGCCACTCATGTGTGTGACTAAAAGCCCAGGACCCACTTTCCCACAATCTGCCCAGTTAGCCTAGGAGAAGCACAGGGTAGGCAGCTGTCCACGTCTGGAGGCCAGGGATGGGGAGCTCCTCAGAGAGAGTGACTTGATTTTACTATGCATTCTGCCATATTCCCCTCCAGAAACACCAATTTTTTATTGCTTTTACATTTTTTTGCTCAGAATCAACAGCAGCTATGCTTCTCAAATTTATTTCAAATCTCAGACATTTAAGAACATCCATTTTAGGCCCAAACTACTTGCACTCTCAGTACTCTTGAACACTGTGGGGCCCAGGTGCTAGGGCCTTTCAGTTACAAAATGTTTACAGGCTTTGTAGACCGGCCTGCCTCTCCCCCTTGGGTAGGACAGAGGGGAGGAAAAGACTTTCTGATGTACATTTCCCGTTATCCTGTTCTGTTAATAGCTTGCAAATATCTTCCCTGTGTGCATGTGTGCTGGCACCATGCACCTGTTGTTTGTATGAGGGTATAAAACCCTGCTTCCATTTTGGATAGCTCTCTCTCTCTCTCTCTCTCTCTCTCTGGCCCCTGCCTCGGATGAATAAAGAGCTGTTGCTGCATTTATGGCACACAGTCTGCCTCATGCCTTCTTTTAGATGGGCATCTCATCATCGAGATGGTCCCTGATTGACACCTTCGGACCCAACATTTGGCATAGTCGGCAGGATACGGTGAGTAGCTGCCCTGCTGCCCCAAAGCACTCAGGGGAGGACTCCACTATGTGGCTCCCGACTTCGTTGTGGTACCCGATCGCTGAATTCCTCACAGCCAGGGCCCCTCCTGAGGACTGGGAGGTGGTGAAGCCCACACCGGAGGCTGTACGGGAGGCTAGACCGTATGGAGATGAGCATACCCATGGCCCACCGCGAGTCAGCGGGGCAGGTTGCATGGCTGCTCCTCTCTGTCTTGCGGAAGCAAGCGGTCACCATATGCGACCAGGTGCAGCAAGTGCAGCCACTGAAGCAGGCTCAGGAGGTGCTGGAACAACGGGTCCATGCTCTGAACAAGGCTCTGGAAGGCCAGGTAGGCGCCCTGCTTTCTTCCCACCCTGCATCACGACCCGAGAGCTTGACACAGGGGGTGCTCCAGGCCCATCCAGTAATCAAGAGGCAGGTATAGTATGACCAACCCATAGCCCTGGGAGGAGGCCCTGCCGGGGCGCTGGAGGTCAAACAGCACATGATGCATACGGCATATACGTTGGCTGAGCTCCGGAAATTAGCTAAGCAAGTTCACCAATGTATTGGAGAGACGATACCCGGTTGGCTGCTGCGACTGTAGGACAGTGGGGCCAAGAGCACAGAGCTGTCCCCTGATGAGATGACCCAACTCGCCTCCATCACAGTGATACCCTCCTTCTGCCAGCACCTGCAGAATGTTCAGTGCTTGGTGGGAAATTACCAGGGTAATCATTCCCTGATCAACTGGCTGATGTCAGCAGCCCATATGATCTGGACAGACCCAGAGAAGTTGCCGGAGGTGGTCAGCAAATGGTCCACGTACATGGACCTGGGGCAAACCATCAGGGAGATGGGCATGTGCCAGATGATCTTTCAGGAGCACTAAAACAGCCCTGATGAGGAAGTGTTCACCACATGAATGAAGGACTTAATCCTTGCATCTGGCCCAGCAGACTCCTTTGGCCCGGTGGCTGCCATTTTGACCCCCTTTGTGGACCGCTGCATTCATGAGGTCACAACAGCTATGGCTAGGCTGGGTGATGTGGAGATCCGGCCAAAGGACATAGTGGGAGGGATGGTTAGGCCTGTCAAAACCACTCCCAGGGCTCACCTGCAGGATGGAAGACAGAGCCCCCGCCCAGCAGCAGTGGGTCCTGTTAAAGTGAGTCGGAGATGTGTTTCAGTCTCCTGGTGGCAGGCGTGTTGCAGGTGAAGATCAAACAGCAGCCCAATGAGGTGCTGCTGGCCCTCAGGACCCAGTTGAGCCCAGAGCAAAAGTTCACCAAGCCACCAAAGGTCGCTACTGGCGAAGTGTGGCTGCAGGACTTCTTTGACTAGGGATCGAACCAAGGGACCTGGTTGGCAGGGGAACTGGGAGACCGGAGGCCTCATGTGGAACTGACCATTCATTGGTCCCCCTGCAATGTGCAGCGTGTTTTGGTCCTGGTGCACATGGGTGCTGACAGCACCCTGCTTTCTGGCAATCCAGACCAGTTTGGAGGCCCCCTAGCGTACATAGAGGGGTATGGAGGCTGTCATATATGGGTGAGCAGGCAACTGTGGTTCTGGGCATTGGACGCCTTGCCCCACATGCCTACGTGGTGTACATCTCCCCTGTTGTGGAGTACATATTAGGGGTGGATGTTTTGCAGGGTCTTTCAGTGCAGACGACACAGAGCGAATTCTGCTTGTGGATGTGAGTTGTGAAAACTGGTGTGGCGTGAGGTCACCCACACCACAAACCTGTTGTCCTGCCAAGTCCTGCTAGGCCAGTTCGTGTGCACCAGTACCGCCTCCCAGGAGGACATGAGGAGATCAGCCAGACGATCCTGAAGCTGAAGGAGGCGGGCATTATATGCCCCACTCACAGCTCATTCAATTCCCCTGTGTGGTCTGTCCTCGGGCCGGATCACACTTGGCACATGACTTTGGACTACCGGGAACTGAACAGGGTGACGCGGCCTCTGCAAGCCGCCGTCCCCTCCATAATGGACCTCATGGACCATCTGCCCTTGACACGGGGGAGATACCATTACTTTGCGGACTTGGCAAACGCCTTTTTCTCCATCGACATTGCACTGGAGAGTCAGGAGCAGTTTGCCTTCACTTGGGAAGGATGACAATGGACGTTTGTGGTCCTGCTGCAGGGGTACCTGCACAGCCTGTCAATCTGCCATGGACTTGTGGCCCAATACTTGGCCACCTGGAAGCAAGCCCCAGCGGTGTTGCTGTTTCATTATATTGATGATATAATGTTAACCTCTGGTTCTCTTGCAGATCTAGAGAACGAGGCAAGGGACCTCCGAGCAGCACTTAAAGACTGGGGATGGGCTGTCAACAAGGCCAAAGTCCAAGGGCCTGGATTGTCTGTCAAATTCTTGGGGGTTGTCTGGTCGGGTAAGACCAAGGTTATGCCACAGGCTGTCATTAACAAGATCCAGGCCTATCTGCATCTGGAAACAGTGAAACAGCTCCAGACCTTTTTGTGCCTCTTGGGGTATTGGCAGGTATTCATACCCCACTTGGTGACCATAATGTGCCCCCTTTATGGTCTGACAAAGCGGGGTGCGGTGTGGGACTGGACCTCCGGGATGGAGGAAGCCTTTATGGCTGCCAAATGGGCTGTGGCTCAAGCCCAGACCTTGTGGGTTGCTGAGCCCACCCTCCCATACCTGCTGACAGTTCACGTGCAGGACCAGGGCTTTGGTTGGGGTCTGTGGCAAACCCATGGGACCAGGAAGGTGCCCTTGGGTTTCTGGTCTCAGCTCTGGAAACGAGCTGAGTGGAGGTACTCGTTAATCGAGAAGCAGCCAGCGGCCATTTATGCAGCCCTTGTGGCCTGTGAGGCCATCACAGGTCCTGCACCTGTGGTGGTGAAGTCCACATACCCTGTCGAGGGTTGGCTGCAGTCATGGTTAAGGGCACCTAGGACAGGGGTGGCCCAAACTTCCACACTGACCAAGTGGGGAGCGTATTTGGAGCAATGGGCCATGTTTAGTTCCAGTCCGTTGTCCCAACAGCTTCATGAGCTGCTGGGCCCAGTAACCTTCTGGGTGGACAAGGAAGAGGCACTTCCAGAACACCCTGTAGAGGTGGCCAGACCATACAGGGAAGGAAAGCCAACTGTACCTGGTGGGGCATGGTACACGGGTGGCTCCTGTTGGTGCCAGCCCCCCAGTTGGACTGCAGTGGGGTTACAGCCAGAATCAGAGGAATTCTGGTATGACACCGGCCAAGGTCAGAGCAGCCAATGGGCCAAGCTCAGGGCTGTCTGGCTGGTACTCACGCATGAGGCAGGAGACGTGCATGTCTGCACTGACAACTGGGCAGTGTTCCGGGGTCTCACCCTGTGGCTGCCCTGTTGGGCCACCCAGGGATAGATTATAGGATGGTCCCCCTGTGGGGACACGCCCTCTGGGAGGATCTTTGGACACAGCATAAAAGCCAGGCGGCTACAATTTACCACATCCCGGTCCATAAGCTGTTCCTCTCCCCCTGGAAACGATGCGGCAGACATGCTGGCACAGGTCCGCCCTGCCTGTCCTCTGTCTTCTTCAGAGATGAAGGATGCCATTAGGCGCCCTTGGTTACACTGAAAACTAGGGCATGTAGGCCCGTGAACCATGTGCCACGTGGCCCAGCACTGGGGCACGCCTCTGACAGTGGCATATGCCACAGAGGCTGTTTGATCATGTCCCCAGTGCGCCAACCACCACCCCCATAGACGGTGACTGCGACTGCCTACTCAGTCTGGAAAGGTTGAGCGGGAGCCATGCCCACTACATGGCAGGTGGACCATATGGGGCTGTTTCCCCAGGCTACAGGTAAGTGGTACCTGTTTACGGTAGTCGACACTGCCACCGGCTTGGGCTTTGCGTGGCTTACTCCCACCACTTTGCAACAGGATGCCATACGTGCCCTGGAGCAGCTGAGCACTATGTATGGGCGGGCGCTCACCATCTCGAGCAACCGGGGAACCCACTTCACAGGAGAGCGAGCTCAGCAATGGGCAAAGAAGCAGGACATAGAGTGGCAGCTACATGCCCCCTATCGCCTGCAGGCTGTGCGTATGATAGAAAACTTTAACTGACTGTTAAAAAAAAAAAGCCCCGGGCCCTAGGAGGGACAAGCCCATGAAGCAATGGGCATCCCAAGTACCAGTAGCATTGCATCTACTAAATGAACAACCACAAAAGACAGGCCAGTCACCGCTAAATAGAGTGGTAGAGGGGTTGCCACACACCCTCAAGGTAGTGCTGGGGCCAAGCAAGTCCCAAGACTTCCCCCTAGTGCAGCAGGGAGCTTTGCTTCTGCCAACCCGGGAAGCTCTGCTGAAGACCAGACACGAACATGGACTTGGCCATGGAAGACTGTTGTATCCCGGGATCCCTGGGTTGCCTTGGTAGAACCATGGGGGCCTGGCACTGGCCGTGGACTGCAAGTCCAGCCTTTGCTGTGCTCCTGGCCAGGTCACCTTGCAGGTCACCTTGGGGCGAGACGGAGGAGGGACTTTGCTATGGGATACCTTTGCATTGGCTCTGTGGCCTTTACCTTTGTTGCAGGTCCAGGAAGTGGACTTGCCTTCCTCTGTGGTTTTGGGCAGAAAGATGTGGTATCACCATCTAGGAGGCCCGCCACTGGTGGCTACCGTCCTTTCCCAGGATGGGAAAGTGGCTTGCGTACTGCCAGAAGGCAGAGATTTGCTGGTAATGGTCTCTGTCTCCTTACTGTCTTAT